TGTTGACTTAGGGCTAAATTTTTTACTATTTTTGCGATGGCTTTGCAAGTTCTTTCAAGTCTCGTACATTAAGTCTGGTTAGTGCTCCTTCAACTTGATCACTTCAGAGGGATAACGATCTACCCCAACGCCTTTTTCCTTCAACATCCGTTTCACATGCTTTCTTGGCTGGATCATCTTCTCCATTCTCTTCATATTAATTTCCTAAATTTTGGTCCTGTCTTGATAATGCTCATAAAGTTCGTTTTAAATACAGGTGCAGTAGTCGTCGGCAATTCGTATAGGACCAAAGATCTTACGAAAAATATTATCTTGAATTTCTCTCTATATCCAGAATATCAACAATGATGATTTCCTTGCCTTTTAAGTGACATCAACGGAATTCTATTTTACATTCACCCAACTGCTATCTTGTTTGCATGCCAGATTTTTACACCCCAGTTTCAGAATAATGTGGAATCGAAATTAATCCAATTCAGCACATCTAAGGAGATCTTCCTATGCGTACTCTGTAACCGGTTTGGATTGTTTTGTTTTTCTTGAACAAATTTAATATTAAAATCCAAGAGATTAAACAGTATAATAAATATAACTTGATAATAATGATAATATGATTATAATAAAATTGTGTACTAATATTAATGTCTGTATTCTGTTAGATCAATTATAAGGAGTTCAAGCTTTCTATATTAATTTTCCATTCCACCATGTAATTGAAGTAAGCTTTTTAAATGATTTGAAAATTTAATCACTCTTCTCCAAGTTAATTGCGGTTGACCAGGTCATTTAGATTCCATGACAATGCTTAGTATGGGATTCCATTGCTCGATTTAGCAAAACGATTAATAAATCGTTTAATATATTTTCTATCAATGTTCCAGATCTAATCCAGTTGAATGATGTCTTAGGAGATAGAAGTTCAGATCTCGTTGCTTACATATTAGAATAAAAATCATTTATTGGGTTATTACAAGCCTTTCACCCATCCAAGATTGATGAATAAAATAAAAACAGTAATTCCAAAATAATTCAAAGCCACGTCTCTCAATATAACGTTTTAGTGACGAATTTGTTCATCTTTTCATCTATGTAAATATGTTTCAAAAATTTCGATATATGTACACTCATTTACATGAATGCTGGTGTTTTGTGTTTCATTTATTTATTTTTATTTTTATTTATATTAATTTAAAAAAATTTTTTTTTCTAATAAAATAATTTGCTTTGCATGTTTATATTAATTTATATATTATATAATTTTTTACAGTATGCAGACTTAGATGAATTTCTTTCGGAAAATAATATACCTGATGGTTTACCGGGCACTCACTTGGGACACTCAAGTGGTTTGGGCCATCGTTCAGACTCACTCGGCCATGCAGCTGGGCTGTCACTTGGTCTTGGACATATAACCACAAAACGTGAACGTTCACCCTCACCGTCGGATTGTATAAGCCCCGATACTCTGAATCCACCATCACCAGCTGAATCAAGTGAGTAATATTACCAGGTTTTGTTGTGATATCACAAGAATGTTTTCCTTTTTTTATTGAACATTTTCCTATCTTTTAATGGTTGAAGTGTAAATCAACTTAGAAGTTTTAATTTGTACGATTATAAAACGTAGATTTTCTAGTTTTTGGATTGAATGGGGTAGCATTTGTACATAAAAATAGTTATAGTCATTTTGAGTAATTAAAAAATTATTAATTTTTTAAATAGAAAATAAATATAAAATTAGTTATAATAGATTAAATAAGACAAATATTTGAATGCATATAAAAAAAATATATAGTGTAAATATGTTATATATGTTAAGCATATACATATATTGTATTTGTATATTTAATAAAATATATGTATATTATATATATAACATTTATATATTTGTTTGTTTGTAAATATTTTATATACGAATTATTTATTCAACAATTTTTAAAAAAAGTATTTTAAAATGTGACATCTTTAGTTTATTTTGTAAAAATTATTGATATTTTAACATCTTAAATTCCTTAATAAACTTACCAATGTATATATACTTTACGTCTATATAATAGTGATAACTAGTTACTAATAATAAAAAAAATTATGATAGCAATATATAATAATAATATATAATATAAGTAATTAATTTGAAGCAATATATAAACTTTAAAAATAAAAACTCTTAGATTTAGATTTAAGACATATTATAAAGATCTTTAACTATTCATTAATTATAATCATTATAATAATTTAACTATTCATTAGGATTGCAGTTCTCACTTAATACTGCTGTCTATTTCTAAGTTAAGACACGGATTTGGTTCTAATAAGTGTCTTCTGATTTCCATTTAACTTGTTATATATTATATATATATATTATATATATATATATATATATATATATTATATATATATATATTATTATATATATATATATATATATAATATAAGGAACAACTTAAGATGAGAAAGATGTACAAAGAAGATATCTCTGATCCTCAGAGATGACTTTTGCATTCAGAGATGAGTGATCTCCAATATCTAAATAATAGCCATAAAAAGGTATAGTGGTAGATTCCTGCTCAGGTTTCTGTAGATAAAGCATATGACCGCACTGTGCCTTTATTCACATCGTAACAATTGTAGGTTATATTTTAGCCAAGGAGTTAACGTTTTTTAATGCGTCTAGGTTGCTTTAAAGTACCTAACCATTTGTTTTGAATAATTGAGAATATGCTGTAGAATCTAAAATGCTGAAGCTTAATAAGTAGGGTCGATGTCTTCCCTCGTCAGATGCCGTACTGCATTAAACAACATCATATGATGATTACTTTATTATCGTCATTATAAAACATGGGTTTATTATGATCATCGTTACTGTCATTATCATAGGATCTGAACGATTTTTTTTAGTACATCCTAAATAATTATTTTAAGGAAGTTGTAAGTTCTTCCATTTCATTTATATACCCATATGCGTACATCACCATCAATTGATGTATATATTGTGATCATCATAACTATACGATAATCACATAGTCGTGTTAATGAATTGTTATATGATGATTGTAATATGACCATTAACATATTGTGTTTCTATTCTGATTATCATTATAGACATATTTATATAAGCGTATTGATTTATTTTCAAAGATCTTAACTACCTTTCATAATTTTGAAGAGAATCGTTTTAATTAATCGTGAAGAGAATCATTATGTATTAATTATATAACGAGAATCATTATGCGATGATTATATAATGATCATTATCATATCAACGTATGGTGATTTTATTATGGTTATCATTACTGATATTATCATATGATCCTCTTCCAAAAGATCTTAAGTAAAGGTTATTATTTTGAGCTAGGTCGACTTTATAACATTTTATCTATGTATCTATATGTGGTCATCACCGTCAAATGAAGATTATATAATCGTTATCATTATCATATAAATCATTATATGATGATTATGTTATCTTCATCATCATGTGATGATTATATTATGTTTAATAAGTGATGATTATGCTACGGTTATAATCATATAATTATAATTCTATTATAATCATGGTTATGATCGTTACCATATGATCGAATAGGTATCATTCAGAAGATCTTTATTAAATTTTATTGTTTTGAGGAGGGTCAATGTTTTTTTACCTATCTCTGTTAAACATTATCATAGGTTGATTATATTAAATAATCAATAATATTAATAGTTTAATAATTATTAGATAATTATATTATAATTATATTTGTTTATTATTTATTTTATACGTTATAGTTTAATATTAATATGTAGTTTATATAATCGAATAGATTTTTTTCATATATTTTTAAATAAATTTATTATATTAATAATTGTTAAGTTGCGGATATTTTATATTTAAACTTAAAGATGTCATGTTTTAATTATTAGTAAGGTGCAAAAATCAATTTAATGTTTTCAAAGTTTTATATTTAATTTTTAAAAAATTATATTCACCGGTCTTAATATTTATAAAAAATAAATTTAAATACTTGATCTGAGTTAATTTATTAGGGTTCATTAGAAGCATTTGTCACAACGTTGTGAACCATTGCTAGTACAGTTTAAATTATTTTATATTCGATCTTAAAGCAAGACCTATAGCCCGATGAATATAATTAATGGAAAAATATATGAATTTAATAATTTTTTTTTGTTAAAGTAGAATAGCTTTTACTGACAACAAAGTAAAGTAGAAAGTAGATTTTTTTAGAAATCCCCTCTGCCTTTTTTCAGTTTTAATTGCATTCTATTCGCTAAAAGTAGTTAAGAACTCATTTTCAAAAGTTCATTTTATATATAATAAATTTAATTGTTTAAATTTTTTTTTTTTTGGAATAATTTTGTATACAAAATTTAAACACAAATGGAATGGACACACTAATTTTACTATATATACAAACTAGTAAATATATATAATTATTTAATGCATTTATGCGAGTGTAAATTGCTTAAGTAGTAAAAAGAATTTTCAGTGTTGCCATTGAATATTGTAACTTCAATATTAAAAATATATAAAAAAAAATATGTGATTATGTATATAATATGTATATTTAAAATTATAAAAAATTCAATATTTGATGTTGTTTTTTTTTGATTTTTTTTTTGTTTTTATAATAATATAACAATCATTAACTTAACACTAACTGTGTAAAATGTTATGTAAATATGTAATTTTCATCTATATTCAATGGTTTTGCTAAAAAAATTATCAAATGCTAAATGTTAAAAAAAAAGAATCTGAAAACAAAATTAAATTCAAAAATGCACTGAAATATTTTATGACTTGTTTCAATGAGATTTTAATTTGAAATCCGGAGCAAAATTATCAAAATTCAAAATTTTTGTCTAAAACCAAATGTGTTCCATTCCATTTAACTATTAAAAAAAAACAAAATTATTTTATTAAAATTTTTCACTTCTTACAAAACACAAAAAAATGCTTGCTAACAAATTTTTGACGCTTTAATTTTAAAATTAATTTTTAATATTAAAAAAAATTATTAAAAAAAAAAATTTAAGAGCTCTTAATTGCAATAGAAAAACTGAATAAAAATATTTTGTCAAATAATTTGTGTAAAATTTGTTGTAATTGTGTTTTGTTTAATCACATTTTTCTATTTTTCTATTGTTTTTTCGTTGGTAATTTCTTTGATTTTCTGCAACAGAAGTTTTCCTATAAATTTTCCAATTTATTATTTTGCAACGGAACAGTTTGTGAAACATTGTTAACATTTAGTATTTGATATTTCAGCATTTTCATTTGCATCGTCGGGGCGGGATTTTGATCCTCGCACCAGAGCGTTTTCCGATGAAGAGCTCAAACCGCAACCCATGATCAAAAAATCACGCAAACAATTCGTTCCAGATGAACTCAAGGACGACAAGTACTGGGCCAGACGCCGAAAGAATAACATCGCTGCCAAACGTTCCCGGGATGCACGTCGTCAAAAGGAAAACCAAATAGCGATGCGTGCACGATATCTTGAAAAAGAAGTGAGTGTAACATATAACTTTCTATAACTTTCTACAGACTTAGCTTAATTTATTTCAATTGTTTTAATTTTTTTTTTGTTTTGTTAAATTTTCAATTTTATTTAAATATTATATTAATTTTTTTAATAAAATTTTAGAACGCAACATTACACCAACAAATAGAGCAACTACAACAGGAGAACAAGGACTTGCGTGCACGTCTTACGAAATTCCAAGATGTGTAATGTTCAAATATCAATGTACCAAGAAAGGTACAAACTTAACTCCCCCCACTTACTCACTTGACGCCACTACACGTTAAGCAACAACCACAAGAACCACAAGTACCACTCCAGTTTACAGAAAAATAAAACAGACCACAACAAACAATAAAACACTACAACAACAATGTATACACCATTCAGTCTCCACTCCGCTCCACTCCACTTCACTCCACTTAAATTAAAACAGAAATAAAATATAGTAAATATTTAATATATATAAAATTAGAGAAGAAAAAAAACAGAAATACAAGGCATAAACGAACATATTTATTTTAATTAAATCTTAATTAATATTAAAGTAAATTAAAAACAAAAATATTTCATATTTACTGTAAAAATTAAAAATATTAATTTTACTATAACAAATTAAAAAAAAAACCAAGATTGAGCAATTGATTGATTGATGCAAAAATTGCAAATGAGTACTAATATTTAATTAACATAAATAAAAACTAAAAGTAAAAATAAAAATAAAAGAGTAAACCTACGTTGATAGTAGCAGCAGAAGATACGGTATATATACATTATTATTACAAAAAAGTATATATAAAAAATAAATTATATATATAAATATTATTATATGTATATATATAATATATATATTACAAAATATTGTTATTAAAATTATTGTTAAAAATAAAAATAAAAAACAAAATAATAATAAGATTAAGCAACTTGAAAAATATACAACTTAAATATATTTAAAAAAATTTGCTTGTAGCAAAACAGAATTAAAAGAAAAGGCTTCATTAAAAAATTGTTATTACATAATTATAATTAAAAATTATAATATCTATTAAATAAAATAATATTTGAGTTTAATTGTTATGTTTGAAAAGTGATAAACGAAAACAACTAATTGTTTAATAAACAAACATTTGTGCAAAATATGTGCGAATAATTACTACTAATTATTAAAATGTTGCAACAACGAAAATATATTTTAAAAATATATTTATTAAATAATAACAATAATAATGAAATTATATGCATATTAAATTCAAAAGCGTAATAGCAACAATAAAACAATCCAAGTGAAATATTAAACAATTTTCTTTTGCTAGTGTAAAAATTAGCAGTGACTGTTAGCAGCAGAATGTAACGGGTCATGTTAATAACATATATGAATTGTATGGCAACATGTTGTGCAACATTGCGTTAATAACTTCATGTAATGATGTTAACTTATAAATTCAGACTTGTTATTCCTTAATAATTAATAATTATTGCAGAAACATAGCCAAAAATGAAGAAAATGTTGAAACCTATTTTAGCACTGTTGTCCAAAAGAAATCTTTTAGGCAATTTTTCATTTCATAGCCTCTTTGATCATTTGAACATAAAGAGAGTGAAAGATTAGTAGTATGACGGGTATTAGTTGTTACCGTAAAGCAGTAAGCTAATGTTAGTTGCAGTAAGTAATGTGACAATATAATCGACACGAGATGATTTCTTAAAGTAAAGTAAGATATTAAGGCAAACAAGAACACTATGTGACCATTTCTTAATACACAATTAACGAATGTTGCCAACAAAGATGTTGTAATGATGTTTTTTTTTGAGATATATTTATTGTTGACAAAAAAAGACCTTTATAACTAATACCTAATAATTTGTTGAGATATATTATAGTACCGGTGATAAAAAAGATCTTATCTTTGTATGATAATTTTCTAAGGTAAATTGAAGTTTATTTGACAATAAGAACCTTCCAATGATACTCGTACATTGATATATTGGTAACCTTAAAGACCTTTATAACCTATTGATTTCTTGCGATACATTGTAGTGCTGTTGGTAACAAAGATCTCCATACGTTAATTTTTTGAGATATAGTGCTGGTGGCAAAAAAGATCTTTAGACAATATTACAGCTAATAGCTTAACTGATTATTTAGAACCATAGAACGTGTGTCAATATTGAAGTAATATTAAATAATATATAATAAATTAATTCATATATTAATTATTGATTAGCATTATGCATGAAAATGTAAACATTATTCTATTAATAAACCAATAAAACTTATTATTAGTAATTATTCGGCAATAAATAATAATTACTAATAACTATTCGGTAATATTCGGTATTACTAACTCAACTCAACGCACTTGGATTAAATACCACACTTCTAGATCTTATATATTTTATTTAAAACTTTAAATTCAAATAGTTATATATAATAAAAAATATTAATTTATTTTATTTTTATATATAATATAAATGTATTCACATTGAAAAATAAGAACCAAATAGGTTTTTGTTACTTCACATATTATGTGAAACTATTATTATTGGTTCCTTAAAGGAAGTTTCTTCAGTCACAAATAAAAAAATATAAAAGAATTTTATATACTATAGTTATATTTTTTTATTATATTTCTCTATTATATTTCTCTATAAAATCAAAGATAATATAGACTTCAGTAGAATCACACAGAAAGCTGTTAATCGCAATACATAACAATATTAGGTTTTAGGACACCTTGCTTTACTATTGAAATAATTCCGCAATAATTCAGTCCATTATTATTCAAAATATTGCAGATCCTAAAAATTAACAAGATAGTTCCATTTGCCTAACAAAATGTTTACAGTCACTGCTGAGAAATGTTGCTAGGTATGCCATCAACATGTCTGCACTGTCATGAAAATGCATTTGCTCGCAACATGCTTAGTTGCCAATACAATTCAAACACCGATCGCTTTCTAAAAATAAAATAAGAATATTGCTGCTAACAGAAATTATTATTTAAACAAACTAATAATAATAAATAAGATATATAATAAATATATATTATATATTATATATGGAACAGCTTTAAAAGTAAAAATGATAGAGACACTAAAATGTTGCCAACAATTTTTGTTTGACATTTATTCAATTCAAAAATTATTTTTCCTAACAGATAACAGCGAAAAAAAATTAAAATATTTTTAATTATAAAAATATGTTTTCTTAATAATATTAATTAATTTTGTTTCAGTGTATTATTATACACAATTAAATATACTTTATTTTAATTTCAAAAAACTAATGCAGCGCACTTCATTGTTTACCACATATTTCATGAAAATATTTCTAAATAATTTAAATGAGATGTTTTTTTTATTATTAAGCTAATTAAAATATTGATTACGTTTTTAAGCAAATACTATTATGAAATTAAATAATTATTTAATTATTATTTAAGTGAAAATAAATTTCAAAAAGCATAAAAATTGAAGCTGACTTATAGTTTGTATAATGGAAATATTTTGTAAATATTGTTGAAAATATTTTATTTAAATATTAATTGAAAATACTAATAATTTTATAATTATGTTAAAATATTATTTTTATCAAAAACAAAATTAGTTAATAGCTTCGTTATAATTTGGTTTAGTATTAATTTTTATTTAAGTACATTTTTTCAATCATTTTAAAAGTAAACAATTTTTTCACTGATATATATAAGTCAGTCACTTATTGGCCAGCAGTTCTCAGTAGAAATTGCAATAAATACTTTCAGTTTCACAAAACTATATATGATATTTATATATATAATATATATAAAATTTATATATGCATAACATATATTTAATATGTATTTTTACATACGTAATCTATATTACTCTGTATGTTATACATATTTGTGCAATTATATATTATATTTTATATATATATATATATGTATTGGTATATGGTTTTAAATATTTAATTAATCAGATTTCTTCAGTATATTTGCAAAATTGTTTATTTTTGTTTAGTTCAAAATAATATTTGAAATAAATATTAAATAACAATACAGTTTAAAATTTTTAATACTTATTGTGCTGCTGTCTTTTTTAAATATTTTTACAATTCAAATTTTCTTCTATCTTTTACTTAATTACTTTCATACATTTTCATGTCATTTAGTTTTTTATTTTAAAATAAACTTATCATTTAAAAGTATACAATAAATTAATAATAATAAAACTATAATGTCTAAAAAAAAATTAAGCAAAATTTTATTACAACTACAAATTTGTTTTTTAATAATATATTAAATCTGATTCAATTTTTTAATAATCGGTTTAATTTTATTTTATTAAAATTTACAATATTTACAAATTGAAAAAAAATTTTATTTGAAAATATTTTCGAATAAATTTGATATATATTATGATTATTAAAACATTTTTTTTTTTGAGAATTCAATATAAATAATATTTAATTGGAAAATAATATTATGTATTATATGAATATTCTATTGATTTTTAATGGTTCAAACTAAAAAAAACTCTAGAACCCTATTGTCTTCTATTTTGAATATTAAATTAATTTTTTTATTTTATTCAAATAAATCGCTAGAATATTCAAATAAAATATTATAATATTTTTTAATTAAATATTTTATTCAATTGCTTACAGTTAATATTTCCTATTAAAATATATTTTAATTATTTATTTTAATTTCATTGATTCAATATTTCATAAACTATTTCATACACAGAACTTAATTATTTTAAAAGTTATTTTAATTGTTTTTCTTAAATATTTTAAACATAAAAATGTTAATATTTTATTTAATAATTATAAAAAGTTATTTTATTTTAATGTTAAGTTTAGTTTTTATATACAAAACTATACATATGTGTATAAATATACATACATAAATAGACATATTGACTTTATTCTTATATTACCATAGAATTTTAGTTGTTAATTGGTGTGATTGCAAAAGATCTTAAAAAATATTTGTTTTTATTTAATTATATATAATTTTAATTAACTATTAATTACTAACAAAAAAAAACAGATGTTAAAAACTAACTTAAATTTTAAATTTTATTTTAAGCATTTTTAAAACTAAAATTGTTTTAATTTTTCATTATTGTTAAGTACAATTTTAAATTATCAAATAAATAAACAAATTTTAATTTAATTGTAGATTTGTCCAAACTAAAAAAAAACACAAAAAAAATTATAAAAATTTTAAAAATGATTATTTTTGGTATTAGCATATACAAAGAACAATATAAACTATATACATATGTTCTACATAAATATGTATATAATATATAAAATAGTTTTTGCTTTTTTTTCATTTCTGTTGTTGGCATACATTAAACATTAATTGACTGTGGAATAATTTTCATTATAAAAACAATACAATTTACATATAAATATAAATATAAATAAAAATGTTTGAAAAAGAATATTTATATATGCATATATGCATACAATTTTATATAATAAAATACCATGTAGTAAACAAAA